AATGCTGATTGTGTCAATGTGGTGCTGGCTCATGGGGACATAATGTGGCTTGTCATATGTGATAGTGACAAACTCGTTGTTTTTTCCACGGGTAGGTACACAGCATAGCAAGGGAACCGAAAAGTCCCCAACAAGCTGGTGTTCAACAATGTCCATGTAGAGGTACAATGAATTGAATCCTCCGGTTATATCAGCTGTAAAGGGTTTTTTTAACAGTGGACCTGGGTAGTAACCCCAAGATATAGGCTAGTTCACCACCAGTAGAAAAAGCATAAGAGTTATCGCTGGCTTTCAGTCTAATTTTTCTGCTCGCTTGATCATAGAAGATAACTAATTCAGGTGGGGTAGGGTGACTGGCAATGATATCATTCATAAGATCCAACAACTCTGTGATGGATGAATAATATCCCCGGCGCAGGACATATCCCAGTTTTTTAGCTTCAGAAAAGATTTCAAAAGGGGTGTCTTCGTTGATGTTGTTCCAGCTGTGCAGGTATCGTATTTCTACTAAACCTACCTCCCATTTCCCCCAAAGATCCAGAGGTTTAAGCAGCTGTATGGTAAAGTTTGAGCTGGTGTTCTGCGGGAAAACCTTGGCGCAGGCATTTCTGGGTAAAGTGATGTAAAAACCACCATCGCTTATCTTGCTCTTTCAGCAGCAGTAATGCCTTGTCTTTTATTCTAAATGTTACAGGTTTGGGAGGCTTCTACCCAGCTATTAAATTAGCAGGCCACCCTAACCATTTCACAAGTAACTGTTTCTTTCTCCCCTTTCCTTTCTCTGCTAAAACTTTTTCAATCCTGTAAACTTTGTCCTGTTTTGGGTTCACTTTCTGTAATTCTTCAGGATAAAAAGAACCCTCGATTGGCTCGTCTTTGTAATCTTTTAGGTGGTAGAGGGAAGGGTCTGCACTCACTTAATGACTTCATCCACTATGAAAATTTCATCGGTGAATGTTTGTTCATAACCTTTTTCAAATCTCCCTTTTGTTCTAGACACTCTCATGTGGTCTCCTTTTCTGAACAGGGATGTTGCTGTTTTTGTTTTAAAGTAGTCTCTGTACACTGTTTTCTACACGTGGGGAGAGTTTGAGGAGTTCACATCAACACGTCTGGCCCAGATAGTTCTATGAAAGCTGTGGTTGTAGCTCTTTAGAAACTCTGGTAACACATCAATGTAGCAAAAAGTGTTGCGGGTTGTAAAACACCTTCACATCTTTGATTTTAATGTTTTATTAAACCTTTCTACAATGGCTGCCTTCACTTAATTTTTTCTAACAAAATGGTAGACATACTCTTTTAGCAGTTTGCTTAAAGGCTTATCTAAAAATTCTTTGCCCTGGTCAGTCTGTAGTTTTTCAGGCACATGACCCATTGAGAAAATGCTTTTAAAGGCCTTGGATATTTCACCTGCTGATTTGACTTTTAGACTCAAGGCCCAGGCATGCTTGGATAATATGTCTATCACTGTTAAAATGTACTTAAAGCCACTGTTGTGTTTGGAGAACTGTTGTATATCCACCAGATCTGCCTGCCATTGTGCATCCACATCTGAAACAAGTCTTGTTTCTTTTAAAATGTCTTATTACTGGTTTGTGTAGGGTGTAAGCATCCTGGTCTGAAACCTGGCTTCTATTAAGATTCTTATTCTGACTTTTGGCTGCTTCAAAAAGTGAGTTCACCCCACCAAAACTACCCGCTGCCCCAGGGGTGTAATAAATTTCTTTTAACAAAGATCCCCCTGTAGACATGACTGGTAACCATGGTACCCACCTCACCAACACACTTATGGAGGATTTAAAGGCCAGACAACAAATTTAAATAGTGGCAAAATGAGATTTATTAGCGAAAAGCAGTACATACAGGGTTATTCAGCCATGTCTTGAACTATTCTCTTTTAGGTGCACAGAATACCCTTCTCTGAACAGGTAGGATGCTCTGTAACCTCCATAGGTTTATACCACTGCTCCACAGAGCTCTGGGGACTCAGACAAAACTAGTACATGCATCTTCAGTCTTGTCTTGAACCCCTCTCTTTTAGACATGAACAAAACCAGTTCATACACGAGACCTTTATTCTCACAGGTCCACTAACGCATACGTTTTGAAAGTTCTCCATCAAGACATCACCTACCTGCTAAGAGACGAAAAAGTTAACACAGGCCCACCCTGTTACTGTAGAAAGCCATCCCCTCCAAAATAATTCTAGGCTAGTTACCTCATCAGAGTCTTTGGGGTTTAGGTTGTCTGCCACTCCCAGGCTCTCTGCCTGTGGCTCTGATGCGTTCTGTTGGGGGTCTGCCACGGTCCCCAGATCTGTTTTGGGAGTGCAGGAATCTGTCTCAGCCTCTGAGATCTTACCCATAGTGCTGCTGAGAGAGGTCTGAACAGTGCCTGAGGTTTCCAAACTGTAAGAATCCATATTTGCTTCTGCCTGTATTAGCGTGGTCTCAGAAAACATGCGGCCTGGTTTGGAGGGTTTTCCCAACAGGATTTTGACAAGAGGCAGACCAGGAACTGCCAGCCTAGGTCCCACCCCTACCTCTATACTTGACCCCCTTTTGGCTCAGCGGTGTTCTCGGGTGGAGGAGTTTTTCAGTTAAGGAGCGACCGTTCTGATGTCACAGGCCATATGATGGGGACAAGGTGTTCTGGGATGCAACATGGTGGGCAAGATGGCCACCAACATGGCTGCCAGGGGGTTCAGGGGTGGAGTTTCCGGTGGCAAAGGTCAGGGGTTAGGGGCGGGACTTTCAGCCACAAGATGGCGGCCAAGATGGTAACCAAGATGGCAGGGCAGGGAGTGCGTCTAAGGGGCCGGGTTGGGGCAGAGCTAGGGCGGGGCCAGGTGTGGGGCACCTATCAGTGGGTGGGGCTTGTCAGTTTGACAAGATGTGTACCCTATATACTACTGAGGCATGCCCAGGCAAGGGTCAGCCCCTGGCATACTGAGCGTGTGTACTCCATTCAGGGATGTGCAGTTTCAGGTGTCTATAATGGTGAGAGTTGCTGGTTCTGCAGGGTCTTTTGTCTTTCAAATGCTGGTCTTGTCTCTGTTCCTGGGTGAGGTCCATGGTTTCTGAATGAATCAATGTGAGGTGATGGCTCAGTTGTTACAGGCCATTCAGTAGAGGCCTGCTACCATTGTATTTCAGTTATTTCTAATCACTCTCATTTATCCGGTGTTCGCGCCAGCGGGCGAGGAAGAAGGGCCGGGAGGGAAACTCCTGCTATTGTGGGGCAAAGGCATTGCACTAAGCCAGAAACAAGCAGCAACTCCTACAATGGTGTCGACACGGAGTGCTGCCAGGACCCCTGCCTGGGGGGCACAGCCTTCCTGGGGCTTGTCTGAGGCCTCCACCCAGACAGAGCCCATGGTGGGGTGGCACATTGACCCAGAAAAGATCACATGATGTGAGAACTAATTAGGATCAGTGGGGTCCAGGAGGGACCTGCAAGCATGAAGGCTCACTAAGACTTGCTGTAGGACTCTGGGGAAACCTCACTTTTTTTCTAAACAATATATCCAGGGAGGCATGACAGGTGAGAATGAAGAGGGCGAGGACAGGATTCATGATCCCACCAGAAGGCATCATAACAACCACTGAGACCCGTCTCTCTGACAGTAAGATTTTCAGATGGTCTGTATCAATGGATGTTTAGGAATAACAGGTCCTTGGTAGATCTTATATTTAAAACAAGTTAATGAGTTAATCACACTTTTAGTGTAGCCCAGTCACATATTAATGCCACTAATGGCATTAACTCACAAAGTTGTTACACACAATATGTAATAACTTTGTCTGCTTCCTATCATGCCTTAAATTGCACATGTGGCCTCACTGATTGGGGCCTCAGGAGCACATGGGAGCACTTGCCTGTGGCTGACTGTGGTTTCCAGTCTCCCAAGCACATTTGAGTCAAAGTGCTTGAGTTTAGTGTTCCCCTGAGGCTGGGGCTTTGATCAGCTGGCCTTTGCTACCAGCCTCCGTTGCAGCACTGAAGTGGAAGGCTCTGTTGCCCACCCAGAGCTAGGAGCATGGATCAGGTAATTTGTGTTCCCAGCCTCCAGGGTGGAACATAGTGAAGGGCTCCACTGCACCTCATACTGGAAGCTGGTCTGCGCTTTCAGGATCTGGAGTGAAGGGCTCCGGTACAGCCCCAAGGCTGGAAGTGGGTTCATCTGACTGACTTCCTACATGTCAGTTCAG